ATATCTATGAATGGGTGACATACCCTCTCTCGTATATCTAAGAATGGCTGACATACCCTCTCTCGTATATCTAAGAATGGCTGACATGCCTTCTCTCGTATATCTAAGAATAGCTGATATACTCTCTCTCGAATATTTAAGAATGGCTGACATACTCTCTCTCGTATATCTAAGAATGGCTGACATACTTTCTCTCGTATATCTAAGAATGGCTGACATGCCTTCTCTCGTATATCTAAGAATAGCTGATATACTCTCTCTCGAATATTTAAGAATGGCTGACATACTCTCTCTCGTATATCTAAGAATGGCTGATATACCTTCTCTCGTATATCTAAGAATGGCTGATATACCCTCTCTCGAATATCTTTGAATGGCTGACATACCCTCTCTCGTATATCTAAGAATGGCTGATATACCCTCTCTCGTATATCTAAGAATGGCTGACATACCCTCTTTCGTATATCTAACAATGGCTGATATACCCTCTCTCGTATATCTAAGAATGGCTGACATACCATATCTCGTATATCTTTGAATGGCTGACATACCATATCTCGTATATTTATGAATAGCTGACATACCCTCTCTTGTATATCTATGAATGGGTGACATACCCTCTCTCGTATATTTAAGAATGGCTGACATACCCTCTCTCGTATATTTAAGAATGGCTGACATACTCTCTCTCGAATATCTTTGAATGGCTGACATACTCTCTCTCGAATATCTTTGAATGGCTGACATACCATATCTCGTATATCTTTGAATGGTTGACATACCCTATCTCGTATATTTATGAATAGCTGACATACCCTTTCTCGTGTATCTATTAATGGCTGACATACCCTTTCTCGTGTATCTATTAATGGCTGACATACCCTCTCTCGTATATCTAAGAATGGCTGACATACCTTCTCTCGTATATCTATGAATGGCTGACATACCCTCTCTCGAATATCTTTGAATGGCTGACATACCCTATCTCGTATATCTAAGAATGGCTGACATACCCTCTCTCGAATATCTTTGAATGGCTGACAAACCATATCTCGTATATTTATGAATAGTTGACATACCCTATCTCGTATATTTATGAATAGCTGACATACCCTCTCTCACACAGATACATATGGGAAAGTATTTTACTCTCATATCTGACGTTGGGCTATGTTATATTTGATTCAGTCATTATTTCTTTCCGAAAAATAGCATCCGTTGCCAACTTTGGTTCTAAATGGTAGCTTCCCTGCATGATGTTTGCATATGTTATAAAACAGTTAAGAGTTTACAGGCTAATCGTGAGGTCTCATTTAATACGTGTTTGATGAGGGTAGCAACTGGTAAACTTATTAATTCATATTTTTATAGTGGATCTAGAGAACACTACTTCTCCCCAGTGACCTCCCCCTCCTCCCACTAGTTCGAGGAAAGTCAAGCTTCCTTCAAACTATGAATTTTAAATGATTTCAATAGCTTTTTTTTATTGTCCTTACTAACTATTTTCTAATTAAACTATCCTTTAGGAAATCAAGATCATGCATAGTATTACTACACAAGAATATTTACGAATGATGAACAACAGTATTGCTACATGATTGTCCCCCGATGGGACAGCGCTGAGTCTTCGGATTTACAACACTAGAATCAGAGGTTCGATTCCCTTCGGTGGACACAGCAGATAGTCCAATGTGACTTTGCTGTAAGAAAACACACACACACACACGTTATATGATCGTATAACATAAAAGCTTAGTGGTCAGAAAGTACATTAAAATGTTTCTGTCATTTGGTTTACTTCTTTTAAGCTCTGTTGTAGTAATAAAAGGTAGTAACACCTAAAACAACGATTTTATCTACCGGTTTTTGACCGGACTTTCAACATTTATAGAGGTAAATATCTACACAAGCATGGAAAAAAAACACACACAAAAACATGTAATGTGTGACATATTTTATATACAATTATTTTTCTCTGTATACAACTGAAAATGCTTGGTTAATTAATTTTAACAGTGTTTATTATAAATTGGCTGTATAAGTATCAGTGTATCTCTCAAATTGGGTATTTATTGAATATTCGCTATTTCTAATACTTTTAAGTCATCTATGATAATATAACTCTCTCAGATATACTGATTACCTATAGATAATCACAGTAACCACTCTAACTGGGGATTCGACAGGATAAGCATCACGGAGTTAAGCTGAATTTCTAACCTGAATGAACTGAAGGAAAGAGACTGCACATAATGATTCGTGGAACAAAGAGTATAACTTATGATGTTGTAAAAGCTTCTTAAGTAATTTTGGAATTTGTTTAAAGCATAAGTGTTATTAAAAAAAACTGCTGGGAATCGGAAAAAATGAGTGCTTCCCAGAGAAGAAAATTCATAGATATTCAATGTTAGTTGTTTTTCTTTTATTGAGTAACAAACTTGAAAACTACAAAACACGAGTGATCTCTAAAATCATTAGTAACGTGAAATACAGCCGGAAACCAGTTATTAAATTTTATTATTGTAATATTGTAGTTAAATACTTTTTGAAACAGGTGATATACAAATTATGTTTTAGAACTCGGTTACAAAATTAGAAACCCTAACAATGAGGTACAGTTGTAAGGATGATAGTGATAAATAAGATTGAGAAACAATTAAGACTGAAAACCAATGCTATAAGCAGTATTCCGAGAATAAGTTTTAGATACTGACGGAAATGAGCGATATGATATTTTTAAAACAACACTGGTATTTGAAATCCTAAAAGCCCTAGTACAAAGTATTTCAATAAAATCAATTGGCTTATAAAACTTGTATAACATAAATAATACCTCCCTGGTAATAATCAGGTTTCGATACCCGTGGTAGGCAGAGCACAGATATCTCATTGTGTAGATTTGTTTTCTTTTACGGAAATAATTACATTATGGCTTCTTATAATAACAAAATAACATATCTCCAGTATTTGGGGCTATCAATAACTGCCTTATTTGAATTTTGATAGATTGTTAGCTGAAGCAATTTGCATGACAGCTTGCGACCTGTGTTCCAGTTCTAAACCGTGGGATCAACAGCAAGAAACAGTTAAAGGCATTTTTGAAGAATTCTACGAGCAGGTAAAGATTTCTGTATGATTTAATCTACCTACTAATAGTAATGAAGATTTTGTGACAGTCGGTTTAATAAAACGTTATTTGTAGATGCTTTGGTGGTATTCTGATCTTTGAAGAATATAAAACAAGTAAAAAATGGTTAAGTAATCGTCGTTCTACGAGACCATTCTTTTAATATATGTTATTATACACCAAAGAAAGAAAAAGTGAAAAACATAAAGAAATTACAATGTATATTTTATTAATTTGTTTACACACTTGCTTGATAAAAAGAGTTAATTGTTTATTGAAATTATATGGATGGACTTGTAGACCAGGGGACGGGAGGATCGAATATTATATCAACTCTTTTCAATATTTAAAATGATTATATCTTATACATTCATTAGGGTGATGCTGAGAGAGAGCGAGGAAAGGAACCAATAGCCATGATGGACAGAACCAAACTTGACCAACAGCCATCATCTCAGGTTCGAATTCACGTGATCTGCTTTCACGTTCTTTATTTACTAGCTCATCAATCCAACTGTAAAGCGTGCAGTGTTTTGAAATCACTTGCATGTATGTAGTTTGGTTCAGCAAAATCTAACCACTGTATGTATAAGACGTTATAATGGGGTTGTTGACATTTCAGGTATTGCAGTTATATATACTGGAATAGCGCAGGAAGACTGCTGCACGTTATTTCTTTTTTTATGGAGACATTTGGATTAAGGAAGACACTATTTACAATGGTAACATTTTATGCATGGACTTCTTCAAGATTCTGTAGTTGAATTTCTTCAAGTAACTGGACAATAAGATCTGAAATTAAAGCATATTTAATCACAGTAATAAATGAATTGGCAAGTAACAACCCATGAAACACGAATTATATCAAATTCAAAATGGTCAGAATTAGTGTCTAGTTGACTCATTTTTTCTGAAAGAGTCCGAGTTGTCCAAAAAAGGTAATAAGTAAAGCACTTTTTGCATGTGCAAGCCATACTTCTGCTCCGTCGGTAGAGGGCATTTTGCGGAATCGTACTTTACTCCTCAGTCAGTGCAGCTCCAGCTCTCTGATGCCTTGAGGTGAATTATGTCATCCAATGATGCCCCGAAAGGTGTTACAACCCGTTGAAAACGGGTACTCTTAAGTAGTCAGAGTTAGGGCTTGTTTGTCGATTTTTGGCAAAATGAGTTATTCAGTGTTTGTCCCTTTATTTATTTTCTTTTTTAGTGACGTGTATCTTCTTAGTTTATTACATGAATGCTATTATATTTATATTCAACCCAGACTAATATGAATACAATATTTATCACCAAGTAGGGTTAGCTTGGGAAAGTTTTGAATCATTCTTTAGTTACATTGGTTATTTTTTTTTTTACTAGCTAACACATTTATCAGTCTTGTATGTTATCACGACCAAAGTAATTTTTTGCAGGTTGGTTTTCTAAAAGCCATATGCTTACCGTGCTATGAAGTCACCGTGGGAGTGCTTCCTAATACAAAACCCATGCTCGATGGTTGTCTGTAAGTTCCAACATATTTGTAATTAACACTATATGTTATCCAAGGAGCGAGGTGAGGATAAAATAATATCATATATTAATTAGGATAAAGTATGGTGTGGGTGGGGGAGGAGAAGGGTAAGCAGTGAGAACCTCTAGAATAATTACTTTTAACTTTTTGTGTGAAATTACTTAATATGAACTAGACAACAATGATACGATAGTATTTAAAATAGTTTAACTGTATGGTGTATCGGGAGTACAGATATTGTGTTAATATGTTATTTTATTAAATTCATTTTATAAACAGGTGTAGGTTATTTTTCTTTCTTATTTACATTATGCGTGGAAACTATGAAAATGGAATTAAATGATGTAATTTTAAAGTATATAAAAAGTAGTAGTTGTGTTTGAATGTGACATCTTTAAACCGGCCGAAAACAACAGCCGGGCCCGGCATGGCCAGGTGGTTAGGGAGCTCGACTCGCAATCTGCGGGTTCGAATCCCCGTCACACCAAACATGCTTGCCCTTTCAGCCGTGGGGGCGTTATAATGTGACGGTCAATCCCACTATTCGTTTGTAGAAGAGTAGCCCAAGAGTTGGCGGTGGGTGGTGATGACTAGCTG